GCAAGGCCTTGAAGCAAGCTGAAACTGATAAGCTCCGTGGCTGGAGAGAATGGTGCTCCACTCACAGCCGTGACGGTGGAGCCGCCCTTTTTTATACACCAGGCCTGCCCAGCCTCGGGTTCCCAGTTCCTTGGTGCAGGTGCAGGGTGCCTCGCGTCCCGCGACTATGGCCGAGGAGATGGATTCGCTTGGGGCTGAGTGGGCTGGGTGGTGGAAGGTGGGGGCCCTGTCGGATTCCATCGCCTGGCCTGCGGACCTTGGCCCCGTACTTTCGCCACCTAGTCTCGATGAGCTTAGAGCGTGCATTCGCACGTTCCCCAAGAGGTCAGGATGCGGTTTTGATGTGATTTCCCCTCGGCAGCTTTTGCACCTCTCCGACGGGGCCTTGATGGCCTTGATCGATCTTTTAGGAGAGATCGAGTCTTCCTGCTCCTGGCCGCGTCCCTGGACCAAAGTGGTTTTTTCTCAGTACGCGGGAGGGTGGATTTCGGCCCATTGCGCTCATTCACATTCTGGCTCGCATGCAGGGGCGGCTGCGGCGCCCGCTGATCAAGTAATGGCAAGCTCGCAATCATCGCCCGTATTTTTGGTCCACGTCTGGACGCAGTAGTGACAAGCCCGTCTGGGTCCAGGCAGCCAGCTCAGAACGGGCGGCCTCACGAGGCTTCTCTAGTGGGCTCCTCTTGCTAGATCTGCAGAAGGCCTTTGAATGCGCTCGTCATAGCGAGCTGGTGCTCGCCGCGAGTGGGTCAGGGTTTCCGCTCCGACAGCTGAAGCTTCTAGTCGAGTTGTACAGGGCCCCGCGGATCTTGTCGCTGGGGGACGTGGTTTCTCGGCCTCTAGAGGCCCACCAGGCTGTTTTGCCTGGCTGTCACTTCGCCACTTTGATGCTGCAACTCATCCTCCTCGGCCCCGCTGACAAGGTGGTGGCGGCCTATCAGCACGTCAGTCTGGGGATCGTGGTGGACGATTTTGGAGCCCATAGGGTAGGGCGTGCGCAGGACGTGGTGGAAGACCTAACAGGGGCCACCACCATGCTGCACGCTGAGCTTGAGAAGGTTCACTCGGTCGTGCACCGTCGTAAGAGTCGGGTCGTTGCGTCGTCAGCTCATATCAGGGCTCAGCTCGTCCGCAGGCTCCGTAGGTTTAATGTTCAGAGCGCTCAAACAGAGCGCAACCTAGGTATCGATTTTGCCGCTGCAGTCTGCCGCTTTCGCGCCACGCGAGCCGCTCGCAGGGCACCAGCACACGCTCGGGCCCGCAAGATCGTCTCGCTCGGACCGCACGTTAAAAAGCGCTGGCTGCACAATCTGGTGCAAGCTGCCCCCCTGGCCTCCTGTAAGTATGGGGGCGCTGTGTACGGCACGAATTGCACGGAGTTGCGTCTCGCCAGAGCTATGCAGGCACATGTGCAGGTCGCCAAACTGTCGGGTCGCAGTCTCACGTTGCTTCTTATGATGTCTGAAGCACCCCGATGCGACCCTGCATGCAAATTAAATATTGAGCCCCTGCAGATGTTTGCGGTGGCCGTCTGGGATGGACTGCTTCCTGTGCGCATGCTCGAGCAAGGAATAAAGGATGCTGTCCATCGCTTCTCCGACCACGGGAACCCCTGGGCTGGCATCAAGGGTCCTTTTCACGGCCTGCGCGGCCACTGCCATCCGTCTGGGGCTCCAGGTCGACGGGTTTGTTTTCGCTCACTCGGTCTTGGGGCGCATCTCGGTCAGGGACGTCGGCCCCAGGACTTTTGTACTCTGGCTCCAGAGGGTGGTCGATTTTTGGCTTTGGGGTAAGGTCGCCAATAGATTGGGCGTGCCTGAGCTGCAAAATGGGTGCGACCTTACTCCGCTCAGAAGCCTTCGCCCCCTCTTGCCTGTCGAGCGCGGGTATCTAAAGAGTGTGATTTCAGGAGGCCAGTGGCCGCAGCATCGTCAATGGGAAGCTGGGCTCTCGACCAACGTCTTCTGTCTTGGTTGCGGGTCAGCCCCGGGAACCCTGCTGCACAGGCATGCCGCGTGCGGCTTGCATGAGGAGATCATGGAAGGAGTTTGTATTCCGTCCTTTCTCACCACCCTCGTGCGAGCTGCCGCTGAGCCTCTCCCCCTCCTCTTTGCTGAGAGGCTGCTGCTGCCGCTTGCTCCCCTCCCCGCCACTCGTCCCGTCCCAGATAGGTGGTTCGCAGGAGGGCCCGAGGCCCTATCAGGACATGTGTTCCTCGACGGGTCGTGGATCGACCAGAAGCTCCCCCCCCCACGCGCAGGCGGTGGGGTGGGCCGCCGTCGCTTTGTGTCCCGACACATTTCGTGTGCTCTCTGCTGTGTGTGGCACGTTGCATGAGTTGTGTCAGGACATTGACTATGCAGAGCTTTTTGCGTTTTATCGCGGGCTGCAGCACGCGTCACCAGGATCCATATTGTACACAGACTCAGCCTTCGTGCATGACGGTGTGCACAAGCGTGGAGAGCGACATTGTTGCGGCTCCCGCGGTGCTTGGTCTGAGCTGTGGCGCGCGGTGTGGACGAAGATTCATGACTGGGGTGGCCCCTCTCAGATTCGTCTTGTCAAGGTGAAGGGACACTGCACGCATGCACGTGTGCAGCTCGGTCTCAGCAGTGCGTTTGAGAAGGCTGGTAATGACGAGGCCGACTCGTGGGCCCAGTGGTCTGCTTCGCGCGTTCAGATTGATCAGAGTTTGCGTGAGCAGGTCACTGCCAAGGCCAAGGCGTTGGCTCGCTACGCCAGATGGGTGGCCCAAGTAGGGGCGAGTTTCGCCGATTTTGAATGTGAGCATGTTAAGCCTGAACAGCAGCGGTCTTGTCTGTCTTCCTGTCAGCCCATGCTCGTGGTCAAACCGCCCCCGCCAGTCGCCACCCCTCGCCCCCTCCTGCGTGCTGATGCTGCGCACGCGCGTGTTGTTGCAGCAGATGGGCGCAGGCATCTCGTGCATCCCTTTCAGCTTCAGGAGGGCACCTGGTGCGTTGCGCGCGCGGTCTGTGGGCTCGGAGGTCGCAAAGTCTCAGCCAAGCTGTCTGAGCAGTGCAATGGACCCCCTGCAGCTTCCTCCCGCGGTGCGCGCGCGTTGGCGAACCTCGCGCGCGCGCCTGCACGGTACAGTCTCAATAAGAAGTGGCACCTGCTCCGCCAGCCGTTCAAGACTGGCGATCAGGTCCGTGCGGGTGAGATTGATTCTCTCCATATCGCCTAACTCATTTGGCTTTTTCTTTCCCCGTGTGTTCACTCTTAGGAGTGAACGGGAGCGGGTGGTGGCGCAAGTGGTAATGGCCCCGCATCAAAGGGGAAGCGCCACCCATCCAGCTCAAAGGTGTGCGGCGAGACCCATCGTCGCGCAGGGCAGTGTCGACGAGGACGAAGACGAGGAAGAGGAGGAGGAGGAGGAGGAGGAGGAGGAGGAGAAGGAGGAGAAGGAGGAGGAGAGCGCCATCGACAGGGAAGGTGGGGGCCACGAGGTCCGCCGGCTCGACGACGCCCGCGTCGCCCGCGCCCGCCCCCTCACTCTTATCCGCAATTGCGGGGTGCTACGTAAGGCTACACTGGCGGAGACGCAACATCAGCCCCCCCAGGAGCCCTCGAATGTGGAATCAGTCTCACACTTCGAAACCCAGCTGGGATGGCGAGCTCCCGTGTGTGTTTGCGTGGGTGCCCATTGTGGTCAAGCAGCCCTCGAAAGTGGCGACAGTTCCACTGTTCGGCCCCCCAAGGGATGGCGAAGCCCTGTTTAAGTCTGCGTGGGGCCCCACTGCGTTGCACCCTCCCCCCTCAGCAGCTTTCAAAAGTGGCGACAGTTTCATAATTCGCAGCCACCCCCCCAGGGATGGCGAGGTTCCGTTTGGATGCGCGTGGGGCCCCTTTGCGTTGGTTCCCCCAGCAGCCCTCGAAAGTGGCAGCAGTTTCACCCAGCCCCCCAGGGATGGCGAGGTCCCGTTTGGATTTGCGTGGGCCCCACCTGCGTTGGTTCCCCCAGCAACCCTCGAAAGTGGCAGCAGTTTCACCCTTCACAGCACCCCAGGGATGGCGATATCCTGTTTGGGTGGGCCGCAATGTGTTGGCTCCCTCGGCAGCCCTCGAAAATGGCAACAGCTTCACACTTCGCAGCTCCCCAGGGATGGCGAGGTCCCGTGTGCTTGGATTTGCGTGGAACCCCATTGTACTGGCCCCGCCCAGCAGCCTTCGAAATTGACGATAGTTTCACACTTCGCAACCCCCAAGAGGGATGCGAGAGGAGAGAGCCGAGAGGAAAGCGGGAGGGGAGAGGAGGGGGAGGAGAAGAAGAAAAGAGATGGCACCCCACTGCTCTACTCAAAACGAAAACCCAACCAAGGCAGGTTTGGGACGAAGCCTCACCAGACAGCACAGGAGCATTGCAACACGCCCCCTCCGTACAGCCGTGCAGGCACGGTGGCAGATTGATTCTGAGACGGGGCAATCGCAGAGCAGCCACAGGCAACGAATGGACAGCCACGGGACAGCCACGGGACAACCGCGGGACAGCCACGGGACAGCCACGGGACACCCATCGGGACAGCCATCGGGACAGCCATCGGGACAGCCATCGGGACGACCACGGGACAACCACGGGACAACCGCGGGGCAACCGCGGGACACCCATCGGGACCACCATGTGACAGCCGCGGGACAGCCACGGGACAGCTGCGCGACGATCCCCGCTGGGGGGCCCCAGAAGCCGCGGGGGGAGGCGCGGCGACGTGTACTGTGTCTCTGGCCTGGCGAGGGCAGGGACTCCGGCAGCCCCGCACGCACGCACGGCACGGGCCGAGGCCGAGACCGAAGCATCTTTGGTCGGAGGTTCCGCTGGCTCACCCCCCCCCCCAGCCAGCCTCCGATTTCAGAGCGTGGGGTATGCCCAGGGCTTCTGTTCAGGTCGTCACGTGCCTTATTTCTCCAGCTCTGGGGCAGTATGGGCCAGAACATACACACACACACACAGGCACACGAAAGCAAACCTGTTCCTTGGGCCCGAGGCGCGTTGCTCGAGCAGACCAGCATCACGAACCAGACGGACGAGCACAGTGGCAGTGCCGACTTCAGCGCAGGTCACGGACAAAGTCTCGTGGACGTCAGCCAGGGACAGTCTCGTGGAAGCCAGCAGTATATAGTTTGCGATTGGAACAAAACGCTCCAATGGATTCCGATGCCTGCGAGTCAAACAGACAAGCCTACCACCGAAATCATCCATCTGGCCGACGTGGAATACATCCGCGTGTTTAAAGAGACAATTGCAAAGGCCAGAATGAGCGTCACAGTTTTGGAAATCAAACGCCCTGGATCTGGTGATCCATTGAAGATCTACGGAGGATTGTACATACCGCCGTTCGCGTTCGAGTATGCGATGGATGCGTTCTGGCCGGCCGGATCGGAAAGCGTTCCACCACCCGTAGACGACGGTTCAGGGATTTATGTATCAGAGCCGAAGGTAGAATACAACAAGCGCGGGAGTAGTTGGTGGTTGTGGTTCGACCCCGAACATTTGCCTGTCCAATATGCGCACTACCGAGTGTCCAAGATGTTCGAATTTCTTGAGGAGCATCTGAAGGACAGTGGCAAGTCTATGCCCAATCAGCATCAAGGGGCCGTGGTAGCAGCCTGGTTCGGTGGGTTCTTTGCCGGCCAGGTGGGCGCTATGACAGGAGCCGTCAGCGCCGGACTGCTCACGGCCTCTCTTGGCCCAGTTGGCATTCCTCTCGTGTTCGTTGGCTTCTTGGGCGGTTTTGCCCTGCCCTTTGGGAGCATCGTCTGGGGCACGACCCAGGGTGCCGAGGCGGACACGCAGCGAGAGCTGAGGCTCCTGGCCAGCGAGAAGATCTTCGAGAAGATGCGGTGCCACGAGCTGTTCCAGCGGTGCGGCGGCGTGGCAGTGGCGCCTGGGCACGGCCGTTGCCCGTACTGATGCCAGAGGCCAGGCCATTTGGCATCGCTCGGACGTGTGCATTTTTCCTTCGGCGAGGACCATCGAGGAGCATCCTTGATGATTTGGCGAAAAAACCACGCACAAAACCGAAAAAAAAACACGGGGAATGGACGTCCGAGCGATGCCCAGGGCCCGAGTTCCGGGCGCTCGGCGCCCCCCGTCTGCCCCAGGTCGCCCAGAGGGCCGGGAGCGGCGCCTCGCACGATCGAAGGCGCCTACGTACGGCGAGTCACCGCCGCCCCCTGCCTTTTTGGAAGCGCCCGCGTGGCCGAAAGTCGGGTTTGAGTTGGGCCAGGCTATCGGGCCACGCGTTCCCCAAGCGGGTTTCGAAAGCCTTCGGGGAACACGGAGTCGGGCAAGCTATCGGACCAGGCGATTTTCGAGCTCTCGGGCCTCCTGGAGGACGTCTTGGAGGGGTCTTGGGCCGTCTTGGAGGCCTCTGGCGGGCCTTTTGGACAGTCTAGGGCCATCTTCAGGCCATCTGGGGCCGTCTTGGGTGCATCTTGGGGCCATCGTCGACGTCTTGGAGGCCGTCTTGGAGGCATCTTGGAGGCCATCGTGGCCGTCTCGGAGGCCATCTTGGGCGTCTTGGGGGCCTCTTGGGCCGCCTTGGGGCCTTCTTGGGGCCGTCTTAGGGGCCTTATGGGCTGTCAAGGGGGGGCCATCTTGGAGGCCTCTTGGGCGCTCTTGAAGCGATGTTGAGGGCCGCTTGGACCGTCTTGGGCCGTCGGAGAGCTGAAAGGGAGCAAAAGCCACAATCCTTGGAACACCTAGGGCAATTCAATGATTTTGGCCCTTTCGGGCCTTCCTGGAGGACGTCTTGGAGGGCTATTGGGCCGTCTTGGAAGCCTTTTGCGGGCCTATAGGGCCGTCTTCGACCATCTTGAGGCCATCTTGGGCCGTCTTGGGTGCATCTTGGCGCCACCTTAGCCGTCTATACGGCCATCTTGGCCGTCTTGGAGGCTATCTTGGGCGTCTTGGGGGCCTCTTGGGGCCGTCTTGGGGCCGTCTTAGGGGCCTTATGGGTTGTCAAGGGGCCATCTTGGAGGCCTCTTGGGCGCTCTTGAAGCGATGTTGAGGGCCGCTTGGACCGTCTTGGGCCGTCGGAGAGCTGAAAAGGAGCAAAAGCCACAATTCTTGAAACACCTAAGGCAATTCAATGATGTTGGCCCTATCGGGCCTTCCTGGAGGCCGTCTTGGAGGGCTATTGGGCAGTCGTGGAGGCCTTTTGCGGGCCAATAGGGCCGTCTTAGGCCATCTTGAGGCCATCTTGGGCCGTCTTGGGTGCATCATGGGGCCACCTTAGCCGTCTTGACGGCCATCGTGGCCGTCTTGGAGGCTATCTTGGGCGTCTTGGGGGCCGTCTTGGGGCCTTCTTGAGGCCGTCTTGGGGGCCTTATGGGCTGGCATGGGGCCATCTTGGAGGCCTCTTGGGCGCTCTTGGGGCGATGTTTGGGGCCTGTTGGGCCGTCTTGGGCCGTCGGAGAGCTGAAGAGAGGCAAAAACCAAAATCCTTCAGACACCTAAGGAAAATCCATGATTTAAACCCTGTCGGGCCTTCCTGGGGGACGTCTTGGAGGGGTCTTGGGCCGTATTGGAGGCCTCTTGCGGGCCATTTGGGCAGTCCTAGGCCGTCTTGTCTTGGGTGCATTTTGGGGCCATCTTGGCAGTCTTGGAGGCGTCTTGGAGGCTGTCTTGGCAGTCTTGGAAGCCATCTGGAGCTTCTTGGGGCCTCTTAGGCAGTCTTGGGGCCGTCTTGAGGGCCTCTTGGGCCGTCCTGGAGCAGTCTTGGAGGCTTCTTGGGGCACTCTTGGGGCGATTTTCATGGCCTCTTGGGCAGTCTTGGGCCGTCGGGGCCGAAAAGGAGCAAAAGCCAAATCTTTCAAAAACCCAAGGAAAATCAATGATTTTGACCTCTTCGGGTACCCTGGAGGACCCTTCGAGGCTTCGTCGGCATTTTTGGAGACCTCTTGGAGGCCTCTGGGGCCGTCTTAGGTGTTTCTTGTGCGAACTTGGAGGCATCCTGGACTCTCTTGGGCAGTCTTCGAGGCCATCTTGGACCATCTCGGGCGATCTTGGAGGCCATCTTGGAGCCGTCTGGAGCCGAAAATCCCTTTGCAACCACCTGTTATGCATCTCTTCGCGCCCTCCCGGTTGGCCAGCGGGATCGGCCGAAGCCCCAGGGGGTCGTTCGGAAAAAGAACCAACACCAAGACAGAAAGGATTCAGCACGCCGGGCACCCTTGTAATGAATCAACGGGGGCGGCGGATCCAGCTGCATACGGTCAGTCCCGCCACCGTGCTTGGGTAGTGGGGTATAGGTAAAGGCTTATTGGATGTTCGTTGGGATCTCGTGGGAGGCCTCTCGGGGGCCTGTTGCAGGCAGGTTTGAGGCCTCTTGGGGGCCGTCTTGGAGCCCTCTCGGGCCTCCTGGGGGCCTCTTGGGGGCCTCTTGCGGGCCCTTGGGGGCCTCTTGGGCGCCTCTTGGGGCCTCTTGTGGAGGTTATCTTGGCCGTCTTGGAGGCACCTTGGAGGCCATCTTGGCAGTCTTGCAGGCCATCTGGCGCTTCTTGGGGGCCTCTTAGGCCGTCTTGGGGCCTTCTTGGGGCCGTCTTGGGGGCCTCTTGGGCCGTCCTGGAGCCGTCTTGGAGGCTTCTTGGGGCACTCTTGGGGCGATTTGCATGGCCTCTTGGGCAGTCTTGGGCCGTCGGAAGGCCGAAAAGGGGCAAAGCCAAAATCCTTCAAAAACCCACGGAACATCAATGATTTTGACCTCTTCAGGCCGTCCTTGAGGACCCTTCGAGGCCTCGTGGGCCGTCTTGGAGGCCTCTTGGAGGCCTATTGGAGGCCTCTGGGGCCGTCTTGGGCCGTCTTAGGTGTTTCTTGTGCGAACTTGGAGGCATCCTGGACTCTCTTGGGCCGTCTTCGAGACCATCTTGGACCATCTCGGGCGAACTTGGAGGCCATCTTGGCATCTTGGAGCCGTCTGGAGCCGAAAAACATGTTGCAACCACCTGTTGTGCATCTCTTCGCGCCCTTCCGGTGGCCACCGGGATCGGCCGAAGCCCCAGCGGGAGGTCTTTCGGAAAAAGAACCAAAATCAAGACCGAAAGGATTCAGCACGCCAGGCACCCCTGTGATGAATCAACAGGGGGCGGCGGATCCAGCTGCCTACGGTCAGTCCCGCCACCGTGCTTGGGTAGTGAAGTATAGGTAAAGGCTCATTGGATGTTCGTTGTGATTTCGTGGGAGGCCTCTCAGGGGCCTGTTGCAGGCAGGTTTGAGGTCTCGTCTTGGAGCCTCTTGGGGCCTCTCTCGGGCCTCCTGGGGGCCTCTTGGGGGTCCCTTGGGGCCTCTTGGGCGCCTCTTGGGGCCTCTTGGGCGCCTCTTGGGGCCTCCTGGGGGCCTCTTGGGGCGGAAGGCGCGGATTTTCGGTTCAGGGCCGTCTTTGGGGGGCTTCTGGGGCCGTCTTGCAGGGTCGGAAGGCCGAAAAGGCGAGAACGCCAAATCGTTCAACTACCTATAAAAGTTCGGCCCTCTTGGAAGCCTCTTGGGGCGCCTTGAAGACCTCTCGGGCAGTGATCTTGGGCTGTCATGGAAGCCTTGGGAGCCTCAGGGAGGCGCCATGGCCGCCCAGGGACTCCCAGGCAGTAGAAGTGGTGCAGTCGGGTGAGCGTGACCAGGGGACGGGGGGCCCCTTCGAAAACTACAGAAACCTTGCCAGGCAGCCCTTGGCATTCGTCCACGCCTCAACGTGCCACAGGCACGGTGGTGGATAACGACAGTGATGACGACAAAAACGGCGACGGCGACGAGGGTGGCCGCAGCGACTGCGACGGTGGCGGCGGTGATTGCGATGGCGACGACGGCCGACGGCGGCGAAAGTGATGACGACGATTGCGTCGGCGGTGGCAGCGGTTCAAGCGGAGGATGGGGATCATCACGTGGTTGGAGGGCGCAACGAGTTTGTTGCACCCGTGCCCTGCATCCTGCTAGAAGGCTAGGACTTTTGCATTATGGCGGTCTCGCGGGGATTGTCAAAAAGAAAAGATGTGCAGCGGGACGATATGGCATGCTTGAAAAGCATATGCCCCCGGATCTTCGCTCCAGCACGGCAACGCACGTTCGCATTCGTGTTAGGGGGTGGGCGTCTAATGAAGAAGCGAGAGCGTGAAGGGTTGGACCGTTGTGCCGTGGCAGCCGCGTTGTTTTCTGTGTGTGGCAGCCCACAGCAGAAAACGCGTGGTCTCGAGACTGCTGCATCATAGCATCCACCACATTAGCAGGCCTGGCATGCGCAAGACTTCCCCAACCGTCAACAAGCCTAATGTGGTCATCTGGGTCAAGTCCGTCGGACCTCATTGCAGTTCCGAGTCCCCGCTACTACATTGGAGGTTTGATGCCAGTGTACTACACGGCTAGAAGGTCCGCTAATCCAAGCGTAGTTTCTTGCAGCGTCTCTGGCAGGCCAGTGGCGTCGCGAAGGACAGCCCCGGCCACCTTGGTTTGCAACGCAAGGTCTAAGAGCCCCACCACCACTGCAGCAAACGCAAGGCGGCACTTTTCTTTGTGCGTGGATGCATGCCGTGCGTGCGCGCGAAAGCCACATTCGGCACTAAAGATAACGATTGTTCCCCCATCTCCCGTATACTTCAGCTCCCAGCGAAACCAGTTTTCCCATTCCAGTTGAAACGACCTCGTGGTAAGTTGCATTGTTGTTTTGTTCCGCTCTTGCAAGCAATCTCCCATCTTGGTTGCTCGTCCCGGGCCGTGGCCTCCCGTTCCGAGAGATGGGCGAAACCATCGTCACGTCGCGAGAGAGTGGCACGCCATGGGCCACAACCAGACCGGGGATCAATCAGGCCGAGTCGTCGTAGATCGATCGTCCGACGGTGTTGGAGTGTGCGTATCTTTGAGCATGTGGCCCACGTTACGATCGGGCACACTCTCCCCAGCGCGCACGAGTAATATCAGGAAACCTCAGGCGAAACGCATGGCTGGCCCCACATCGCGTCTGGCAGTGGTGCGAAGATTTGGTACTCATTAGGGAGGAGGAGGAGGAGGAGGACCAGTGGAAACCCAAGAGTCATCAACGATGTTGGAATTCACCCTCCCTCCAAACTTCCTCTTCGTAGGCCCCTACAACGGTTCATTCCCATTGAGGGAACTGCCTGGCTGGAAGACAACAGTTTGAAGATCCTGAAGCGTGCCAAAACATTGTTCTCGGGATTTCAACGCCACGCATCAGCCTGATTGCTGCGTCTTGACGATCCAAAATCATACCAGAACGCCAATTTGGGGAGTTCAACACAGCGAATCAATATAATTGTTGCGCCCGCAAAGTTCTGAAGCCTTCCCAAACACCGTTTCCGGTACGCTGATCATGAAAACCCGTGAAACTCTTGCAAACGTTTGAAACGAATGTGCGCGGCGTTCAGGCGAGAGCCACATTTTAAAAACCACCCGCCCTCAATTCGCGAAACTCTTGCAAATGTTTAAAATGAACGCGCGCTGCGCTAAGGCGAGAGCCACATTTTGAAAACGACCCGCCCTCAATCCGTGAAGCTCTTGCGAATCCATGTGTTTTTTGCAATGTTTGTTAAATGAGTGCGCGCGGCGCTACGCCGAGAGCAACATTTTGAATACGACCCGCCCTCCATCCGTGAAATTCTTGCAAATGTTTCAAATTACACCAGAGAAAAACCCCAATCAGTGGATGGTTTTTTCTGGGGAGATCGACCGGGACCCCGGGAACCCAGAACCCACCGAAATCGGCCCGGAACCAATAACTGGGAACCCGGAGCGGGGAACCCGGGAACCCAGCTCGCCACCAAAATCGGCGGGAAATTTTCGCCCAATCTTTCCACTTCCGTTAAGACCCTGCAGTGCCAGCACTGATTCGGGAACGAATGCGCGCGGCGCTAAGGCGAGAGCCACATTTTGAGAACCCTTCGCCCTCAATTCGCGAAACTCTTGCACATGTTTAAAACGAATGTGCGCGGCGCTCAGGCGAGAGCCGCATTTTGAAAACCATTTGCCCTCAATCCGCGAAACTAAACGAACATGCGCGGCGCTAAGGCGAGAGCCACCACATTTTGAAAACGACCCGCCCTCAATTCGTGAAACTCTTGCGAATGTTTAACGAATGCGCTCGGCGCCAAGGCGAGAACCACATGTTGGAAACCACTTGCTTTTAATCCGTGTAAGTTTTGCAATTTTGGTTAAACACATGCGCGGCGCTAAGCCGAGGACCACATTTTGAAAACGACCTGCCCTCAATCCGTCAAGCCCCTGAGCATGTTGAACACGAATGCGCGCTGCGCCAAGGGGAGAGCCATATATTGAAAACCATTCGCTTTCCATCTGCGAAACTTTTCTTTTACGCTTCAGAGTCGTAGTGAGGAAGTCTCAGGCAAAACCCCTAGCCTGCCCTAAAAACTGGCGAAAGAAATAAAATATTTATAAGGTGAAGGAAAAGTAACAGCGGAAAAGGAGGATGACCATGGCGAGGTTGACGCCGGCGAGGATGACGGGGAGGCTGACGACTACGACGCCAGGCGTCGAGACAACGCGACAAAACGCAGCCCGCGCGACAATGCAGATGATGTTGATGACGGATGCCGCCGCCGCCGCCGCCGCCATCGACCACAATGGTAGTACTCTTCGCGCGCTCGGGCGGGGGGCGGCCCCGCCTTGCGCGGCCGCCGCGCGCGCCCTCATTCGGGGCAGGCGCGTTTTGGTCGCGCTCATGCCAGCGCCCGTTGACGCCGTCACCGTTCGTCGGCATCGCCAGCATCAGTTTCCCAAGGACTTTGCATCCTTACCGTGCCTCCTTATTGTACAGGTTGACTAGAAATATATTGCATCGCCTGTCGCCATCGCCTGAAAATCCGTTGTGTAATATCGATGCCCACCAAAGTTTGCGTCATGATACGGAGGAATGGGGATTTGATGCGTGTGTTTCATAGTGCGGGTTCGGTTCTGCATTTCGACATCCAAGTCGATCGAACCAAGTGTTTCCATCCATTTTGTAGTCGTGAGATGCCTGCAGGTGATTCTTATGGTTTGCACCACTGTCGTCAGGCCGTGTACGAGGTCGCTGATCCAGACGGCTAAGGCTTCCAGATTTGTTCCACGAGGGCCTCAAAAAGCAAAATTCGTAGATGGCGTGCAACGGAAAGCGCCGCGCGGAGGTAAAACAACAAATGGAGGAAAAGGAGGAGGTCAAGAGGAAGAGACAGAGGAAGGGGACAACCTGCGTACACAATTGGCAAATCCGGAAAACCCGATCTTCAGGATCTTCACACCGTTTAAGCAATCGTAGAAAGTGACCCGCAGGGCCATGCACGCCTGTCAACCGTGGGAGCAGGATTCCATGGACGCCGTTCCGCACACTTATTTTCTGATGTGAACGCGCAGCTCTACATTAATCCCACCAGCCCTCTGGGCGTCGGTGGTTTAGAGCGTTTCCTCTTCCACCCCTCCTTCCCTTCGGGGAGGGGTTTACCCCTCCCCCTACCCCCTCCCCACTGACCTGGACAGGGGGGGCCGCGGGTAGTTAGAGCGTCCAAGAACGACCCCTGGGAGGGCTAAAATTCGACACCCCTCACGAGGATCGTGGCTACTGAGGGGGGGACTGTAATTAGGGAACCCCCCTTCGTTGATCGATCTCCTCCAAGATGGCTCCGAGGCCCCCCAAGAGGCCCCCAGGAGGCCCCCAAGAGACCCCCAAGAGGCCCCAAGAGACCCCCCAGAGGCACACAAGAAGCGCCCAGGAGGCCCCAAGAAGCGCCCAGGAGGCCCCCAAAAGGCGCCAAGATGGCCCCAAGAGGCCCCAAGAGGCCCCCAGGAGGCCCCCAAGAGGATCCCGAACGGCCCACAGAGGCCCCCCCGAGGCACCCAAGACGCCGAAAAGCCCCTCAGGACGACCCTCTACTCGCCTGGGCGTCGTTTCTGGACGGGCTGGTGGGGATACGCGAAGCGTCTAGAATTTCAAATATCCCGAATGGTGCAGCAGGTAGTACCATCTATCGTTTTGGCTCCATATTTGGCCCGGGAGCGCACCAGATATATTTCCGATACAAATCTCATTGTTTTGACCCTTGAATAAAAGTGTTATGAGATTTTTGTTTCCAACCGCGCAGCGCCGCACACACACCTCCAAGTGCCAATCGCTAAGCGGGACTGGGGTGAAACAAATGTTTCTGCGTAGCCCGGGGGTGGCTAAGCAGACAAAGAGGAGGAGGAGGAGGAGGAGGAGGAGGAGGAGGAGGAGGAGGAGGAGGAGGAGGAGGAGGAGGAGGAGGAGGAAGAAGAGGAGGAGGAGGAGGAGGAGGAGGAGGGGGGGGACATCACACGACCTCCAAATCTGTAATCGGTGGTGTGGGCTCCAATTGCACTTCAGGGAGATCAGCCGTATCCCGCAAAACCGCCCGGGTTACAGCTGATTGAAATGCGATTCCGAGCAAGCCCCACCACCGATGTTGGAGGCTAAGGGTGGCACCGCGGCGAATCCTACCATGCAAGCCTCGGGAGCGCTCGCGGGCAAGATCTGGCACCAGCTGGACGCATTGATCTCCCCATCTTCCAAATACTTCCGCTCCCAAGCACAGCAAATGTCCCAATCCACTTTCCGCAACCTCGTGATAGTCTGCGTTATTTTTGTTTTCAGCTTGCGCAAGTAAACTGCCCCCACGATTGCTTGTCCCTGATCGTGGTTGCCCTGTTCTCGTAATTGGGCTGATGATTGTGACGTCACAAAACAGCGGAAGGCCACGATGTACGTTCAGACCTGGCACCACTAAATCCAGTCGCCGTAGATCGTGTGGGGGTATGGGGATATTGGTGCGAGCCAGTAGAGGCTCGATGTTTCTATCAGGGACGCTCCCCCCTGCCTCTTGAAAGATCTGCCTCCAAGCAGCGATCATTTCCTTGTGCCGAGAGAAACATCTGCCGTTGGCTCCGTCTGCTAGCCGTGCATGTCCATGCGAATCAGGTCCATCAAAACAGCACGCCACGCCCAGACGTCGTCGCACAGCGCATTGGAGTAAGTCGTTTGCAATAGATAGCCCATCCGTTGTAGGACACACCAGGAGCCAGATCGACGCAAATGGGCCCATACAAGACCGTATCCGGGTTTTTCCTGTCGCTATGGCGTTCCGCCGGGC